ATTGCCCTGAAACTGTCTCAACAGCCTGTGCTGTTGGGCCCCAACAACCAAAGTTAACTTGGAACGCTATTTTTCATCCATTTTTGGGGAGACTATAGAACTCTGATAAAAACCAAACAGTTTAAGGTAAAATCAAAGTTTTAAAAAGCAACCTGGAGGTCGATCCGTTTTTTCCTCGAGGTTGAATGGGTCATACCATTTGTGTATATATGTATATATATGCATGCAAATACATGTTTTATCAATAAATAGTGTATAATTATGTTTTACATATAATATATGCATTATTTTATTTTTAATTTATGCTTTTAATTCATTATTTATTTATTTATAAAAAAATATTAAAAATTAAGATTTGAAGCCAAAAAATGGGTTTTTTTGCAAAAATAATAAGGCAAGGGACACATAAATCTCGAAAAGTTACCCAAAATAAAAAAATCACCCTAATTGGACATCAGAGTGCATTATGGCCTTCAAAAGTTTGTACACATTAAGTTTGCAACCCGTGACTTAGTGATTGGGTCAAACAGGTCAATGGTTTAATCACTCGGGTTGGACAGTTTTTGACTGAAGGACAGGTTTCAACAAAACTGGACCCAAAATCAAGGTCGGGTGATAGTTCTAACATTTTAAAACAAGTAACAAACAACTTCCCAAATGGGCCCATGTGGCTCTCTACTCCATGCATGGCCCAACACAATGCTAACTGAATATAGGCACACACTAATGTGCTCTTCCAACTTAAACCTAGAGGTGTAAATTGGGTTGTGCTGGGCCGGCATGGCATGGCCCGCCTATAGCCCATGGAAAGAGTGGGTCGTGCCATGCTGACACGCGGGCCAAGCCGGACCATGCTTCCCTCCCCTGGGATAAGTTGGGGATTGGCCTAGCACGACACACAGCCCAAGCCCGTGCTGGGCCCCAGGCCTAGGCCGAGCGAGCTATAGGCCGTGGTGTGGGCTTGGGCTGAACTGGGCCAGAAAGGCCTAGACTGTTTTTTTTTCTTTGCTAACTTTCCTTTGGGCTTTGCCTGCTCCAGGAACAAAATGAAAAAATAAAAAAAATCTAACAAAGGAATGAAAAAAATACTTACCAAAATACAAAATGGATAACAAATTGGAAAAAGTAGGAATTTTAATTCATTTAAAATATAAAAATACAAATTGAAAATAAAAGTTACATTGTTGAAAAAATAACAAATAATTTAAATAAAATTGAGAAAATTACTCCATCTCCTTGACTTTAATCATTTGCTTCATCAGGTATAGTATTGTCATGCCCTTCTTTGTTTTGTAATTTATCCTCAACATTTAGCAAATCTTTAAAGTATATGTCTTTTTCTTGTTTCTCATGGAAAAGCAAATGTTTGGTCAAGTGGCCAGTACCACCCTTGCTATTGAAGCTAAAGTCGATCCTACATTTTTGGAAAATAGCTCTTTTTCCCTTCCCCCCAACCTCCTCTATTTTAAATATTTTTCAAATTGAGGTAGTGAACTTACTGTTGGGGAATTGGTTTCGGGAGGAGGAGTTCGCCATTTTTTAATTCTAAAAAAATAAAAATTAATTTAATCGCACTTACTTGGATGATCGAATTATTGATTCAGAATCCCAACTTGATTTCAACTATTGAAGCCTCTCAAAGCCTCCTAAACGGCTAAATTGCTAAGTGCCCAACTACCTAAGTGTATGATAGTATGAATATGACTATATGAGACTATATGAGGAGATGAGAGACTGAGAGAGTACGAGAATTGCTAAATTGGTGTGATGAGAATGGTGGACTGGTGTGGACGATAGGGTTACTTATAGGAATTGAAAATAATTCAATTGCCCAAAATACCTTAAAAACTAGTCATTCTTTAGTTGTTGAGAGGGGTATTTTTGTCATTATAAAGTCATTATCAATTTACCTAAATGCCCCCTAAACTAGCTATTATATAGTTATTGGGGGACATTGTTGTCATTTTTTTCCCCCAAAGCCAAAATACATAAATACTCCCTTATATAGTTGTTTATAGTTGTTGAGGGGGTCTTTTTGTTAAAAAAAACCCCAAAAAGCTGAAACTAGCTATTGGGAGCCCCAACAGCTAGTTTCTCAGGTGGGTGATGCACGGCCCTCTTCGGGCCCGTGGGCCGTGCCAGCATGCGGGCTGTGGGCAGTGCGATCCATACAATCATGCCGTGCTGTGCCGGCCCATGGGCCAACTGATGGGCCGTTATGCACGTAACTGTGGTGAGAGTGATACTGGTAACTAGATTGACAAAGATGAGTTGAATGTTCTTATCAAAGTGGAAGCAGATCGTAGCATGAGTACTCCTTTGGCCTTAGTGGACTCGAAGAAGGATACATGCTCAGTCGAGATGATTAGAAGTGAGGAGAGGGAGCCAATTCGGATTGCTGGTGAGGAGCACACCAAAGAGGTATTGGAGAATCTTAGAGGTTGAGTGACGCAGTAATGGGCCTTCTGTGATGGAGAGTGAGTCAGAGGGACAGTGCTCCAGCTATGTGTCCTTGGGCAAGACTGATGACATTTGGTGGTTGTCTGGGTAGCCAAAAATTACGAAATCTTTCGGATTTGTTTGTGAGTTGTATTGTCCAAGAAAGTTGTAAGGTGCCGAAATGCACCAAGGAAGGGGGAGAATAGAGTCAGGGAGATCCCACACTTTATCTACCTTGGGCCTTGGCTATGTCTTATTGTTTTCTGGTTGGGTTGGGCTTTGATTGGTCCCTTAATTGGTGTTTTTTGAATTGCTGGTCAATCGTTTTTGGGTGCTTGGGCTTTGTTTGGGTTGTTCCTATGTGGGCCTAGTATTTTTTGTTTAGCTTTTTTGCGTTGGGCTTGCGGGCCTGAAGCTTATTTTTTGCTGCTCCTTGTTGTACATTCTCCTCTTTCGTTTTTCTTTTCCAATAAAACGTTTGTGGGCCTGAAGGTTATTTACTCTTTCTTGCTACAATTTGTTTTTTACAATTACTGATATATATTCATCTTGCGCTACTGAATTGGAAGATTTTTGCAATTCATCTGATATTAAGGGCCCATTCTTTGCTTGGATTTTGAGAGGGAAAAGTTGATAAATGGGATTTTGGTTTCCATTGACCAAGATATACCCATATTTCTTTTTCAGATTTATGTTGAGTCTAGAAAAATTTATTTTCCCTAGGTCTTTTAGGTGAATCGGGAGAAATTTGACAAAATTGACCCTTTAAAGCTTTTTATGGTTAAAACAGTCATTATCTTATTTATCAGAAAAATAAAATAACATGAGTTAAAACACTTACCCGCCGGATAATTTCATTTACCTGTGGGATAAGTAATTTCCCAAAAAACGAATGGAGCCTAAGAATTTCCGAGTGCATGATAATTAAAAGCTTAATGAGGTCGGGTTTCCTGCACTCGTTTGGTGTGTGTCGTGGTGCACTCCCAATGAAATTGTAACACGTCATGCTTTGTATGACTCTCTTAATGAGATTTAAATGGCCTATTATATTTTTACAATAATAATAATAATAATAATAATAAAACAGAAAAATTAAAAAAAAAAAAGCCAATTCGAGAATTAGGAGGGAACATGGAACTCTTGCATACCAAACTTCGTAGCTGTGCAAACGCCATTAATGATTGCAGACCGCCCTTTCATCTCCAAGCATTGACAAGGGGCAGGAATTTTATTTTAAACTGTTAAGTAGCGTTGGGAAGTCTCATCGCTCCTTTCACATCTATTAGGCAGGGATCAGAGATCATAAATAGCCTCAAATATGAGAGGACGGATCTCCCTCCATTATTTTTTTAAAACGATTCATGAATAACTTATTAATTTCTTTAGAAAAGTTTCTCTTCTTGATGCACGATTTCATTTCTCAACTCTTGGTTTCCTTTTCCTTTTCTTTTTCTTATTTTTTCAAACCATTTTTTCATATATGAGGTTCTTTTGTGGTTTACCTTCTATTTTGTCATTGGTGATCGGTCTACTCTACAATGTCTTTCTTTGTTTTTAATAAATGTTTTAAACTTTTTTATCTGTTGTTGGCCGTTCTTTCCAAAATAGGTTTGAAGATTTTATTTCCATCTTATTAATTCATAAATAATCTTTTGGGTTATTTCTATCTGGATAATATTTATACAAGTATTTCATATATGTTTCTATTTAACTTGAGAGAAAACCCGCCTGAATTTGGTAACCGGGGGATTTTACATTTTAGATTGATTGAATTTTTTTTTCCAACAGTCGAGGTGTTAATCAAGGTGTTTTAGGCTACCTGTATTTGTTATTTTGACTGTGTACAGTTCAGTTTGCTAATGAACTAATCAGCTTCGGACTTTCGGTAGCTTTGTTGCTATGGCTGTTCTGGTTCATTGGTTCAGAGATGACGATGGAGGGAGGAATAGAGGATGGAGAAAGAGAGTAGAAGAAGAAGAGAAGAAAAAAAAAAGAAAAGGATAGGGAGAGGACGTTAGAAAGGAAAGGATTTCTTTTTTCTGTTTTTTACTTTTAAAGAAGCAAACCATCAGTTTATATATTTGAAACGTGACGTGTTACAATCTTATTGGGAGTGCATCATGGCACACACCAAACAAGTGCAGGAAATCCGGATTCGAGCTTAATAAGCTTTTGAATCCTAGCTAGAAATAGGATTACCTGAACCCTTTAGCTGTTCAGCAGGCTGTGTAACCAATGATAACAATCATAATAAATCAAGCTAAGATAAACATCATTTAATTATAATTTAAAGTTTTCTAAATATATTCACTCAGAGCTAACCTTATAACCATTCAATTAATAGCAACTGTAGCTATGCCAATTTTCTTGTATATCTTAAAAAATCATTAATTTGTTTATCCAACAAGGAAGAAATATATAACATAAGACAAGGAATTTACAGACGAGTATCGTAACGTACATCCATTTCTGAATTCTGAAAGTGAAATAATTTTACTATACATCATCGACTAAATTATTGAATCTGTCATTGTCTACTTGTTTCTCTGAAAAATAGTTCAAACTATAGAGAGAACTCACTTCTATTTGCACTCTCAAGTTTCAAGGGAATTGAAATCCTCCACCTCCATCAGCTGGTGCTGTACCACCCACCGTCGGTGGAGTTAAGGCCATCCAAAGCAACGACAATGTGATTGCGATCAGACCTGACCAAACAAAAACAATTGTTGGCGTCTTCCTCCTCCTTCCCATCAGCCCCTTGGCAAAAGGATACAGATGAGCCAACACCCAGAAGCTAAAGAAAGCTCCACCAACAAACTTATTCCATTGAGGCGTGGTGCTGTAGACTGTCCTCGCAAATGCAGTAAACATGGCGATTATGTTCACCATGGCAATGGTGATAGGGGGTATCATCAGTGATGTCCACTTCACCAGGTACAGCTCTGCGTATATATCGTCACTGTCCTCTACAGCCTTGGACGTTAACGTGAAAGATATCTCAATTCCAGCCATCACCTTCAACAGACCTTGTATCACAGCAGCTAAATGAGCACTAGTTCCTGAAATTAGCCAAAACTGTTCATTCCTCCACCACTCCTCAAGTCCTATTCCCGACCATTTTACCTCCAGGATGGCTAGACTAATGAGGCAAATTGTTATGATAAGTAAATAGACCAGAAACGCTACGTTTAAGGTCTGGACAATGAAGTGTCCAGAAAATAGTGAGAGTGCAGGGAGGAAGCAATACATAATGAGGAACATGGAAGTGAAGGGATAGACTCCGACATTGATGTAGGACAGTCGCTGAAGGAATTTGAGACGGGATTTTGCTAAGAATGCATTGTTTCGAGAGAAGAATATCTCAACAGAACCAGTAGCCCACCGCAGCACCTGATGCAGTCGATCAGTAAGGTTGATTGGAGCTGATCCACGGAATGCATCACGCTTTGTAATGCAGTAAACTGAGCGCCAACCACGGTTGTGCATGCGGTAGCCCGTTACCACATCTTCTGTAACCGACCCATAAATCCAACCCACTCGATCCCCCCACTCCGTCTTGTCCTCGTACCTAATTTTTGTCATCAGAAATGAAATGAACCAACTCTTGAATCCCCATTCGCTTAGTTTGATATGGTTTATTAAAATATAAGCGGTAAACTAAAGAAAATACCAGCAAGAGATCACAGAGACTGCCTCAGCAACAATGGCGGAATCAAGCGGCGGACGAGGACCCCTCAGGACACCTGGAGGTCGGCCATATTTGATAGCAGGGTGATCAGCAAGAGGACGACCTTGGAACTCAGCAATGGGTATTGACTCAGCCAGGATTTTAGAGTTGCCAAATCGCTTTGGCAGTTGTTCCACATCTAGGTCAGGATCAAAATCACTTGGCTTCAGTACATATGCCTCTGCGTTAGGTTTGTGTACAACCTTATCTGCCTGAGGTGGATCAAACCCATAGAGTGCAAATCGCCTAAACATGCAACCAGTTCCCACGTAAAAGGGTCCCTATAAGAATACGAATTTAAGCTAAGTATATGCTCTTTATTGGAATTGTTAATCACAACACATACAGTGTTATAAGTTGCAGTTGTGTTCATCACCTGAACTCCATCTAGTGCTCGCATGTTACCATCGAAAAACACAGTGTTGTTATTAGCGTAACGATCAGAGGGGTCTATCCCTTCAAACCGTTGAGGAAATTGAATGTAGCAGATGTCTTCACCTCCTCGGTCCATCATGAAGCACATGCCTTCACGAATGGCTTGGCAGTTGTAAATGTAATGGTCACAGTCGAGGTTGAGAATGAATGGACCATTGGATAGAACAGCAGAGGCCCGAACCAGAGCATTCATGGCGCCAGCCTTCTTATTGTGATCATAGCCAGGACGCTTCTCTCGTGAAACATATACAAACATTGGGAGACGAATGTCCACGTCTGTAAAGTCAATGATCTTATCTTCGGCACCACCTATTAAGGGTTCACTGCTGGGAGGCTTTAGCATCACCTATATATATATTGAAGTTAAATCAAGTTGGTGGAAGGACTAAAACGTTAGCCTGTGTTTGGTTTGATAGAAAAATAAGAGAAACAGAAATTTGAGAGACAGTTGTTCACAAATTTTGTGAAATTCCTTGACAACTTTCCGTCCACTTTCTACGATCTTATTTCCTATCAAACCAAACATAAAAATTCCTCAAGAACTTACCCTCTCTCTCTCTCTCTCTCTCTCTCTCTCTCTCTCTCTAATTAATACGTGTATCAACTTCAATATACAACATCGGTAGTTAATGCCTAAGACCTAATCAAAGATAAGAGGAAAATGTACCTGAAGAATCCCTGCATGATCACCTTTGGCGTGATCACGGGAAGGGACTGCCCAAGTCCCAGGCCAATGAGTCCCATCAGCCATCCAGGTAGCCTTTTGAACCTTTATGGGCTCCAAAGGATCAGCCCCACTCTCCCTCATGTGCTTCAACATCTTCATCTCTTCCCTTGCATTAAACGCATCTGATCTTCTCCTAATTGAGTCCGGAAGGCCATTAATCCTCACTTTAAATTCATCATACTCCCTCTTAATTCTCCTCCTGTCCCTCACAAAATCAGACCTCCTCTTGTTCTTTGTAGGGTCACCCTTCAAGGAAAAATAGGTATCTGGATTCCTTGGCTCAATATCATGTTTCCGACAGAATGGAACCCACAAGTCAGCAAAGCTCGCAGCCTCGGCCATGGCCTCAAAAGTAAGCAAAGCTCCACCATCATCTGAGACATAACAGGACAACTTCTCCACGGGGTAATCAGCTGCTAGAATTGATAGAATGGTGTTGGCAGTAACAAGTGGTGGCTCTTTTTCTGGGTCAGCAGTAGACACAAACATGTCTACGCCTGGAAGATCAGACCTCCCGGTGGGATTAGATGGAGATGGCATGTCAAACTTGTCCCTTAAGAGAGAGAGGTCAGTAGACCGGTTGACTGGGAAAAGCTTGGGAACTTGATCTAGAATCCATGAGAAGGCAAACCATATTTCACACACAATTGAGATTCCCCAAAGCCAAAGTGCTTCCTCATTGGGATGTGTCACACGCCAATGCAAGAACAAGCATAGAACCACAAACCGAACTGCAATTAGCAACCTGCAACCAAAGTATTCTGGCAATAATGCTTCATGTTTGATTATAAGTTACAACATATATACAGCTTTATTTAGATGCTTAAATATGTACATTTTTATATATATGGACAAAAATTGTGGAAACTAACGAGAGTGACCAACAGTTGTTACCTATAAGGGCTGATGATTGCTGCTGGAATTGGCAATTTTCGACTGAGGGGCCTCCATGGCTTATCATCAGTTTCCACCATGCCCCCTTCAAGCCCTTCCCCATCATCGTCAGAGTCTTTATTAGGCCAAAATGCATTGCCATAGCCATACGTCCCCTTTGTCTCAAAAAGCCACCTATTATGATCAAAGTCTCCTGTTTGGTTCCTCATAAGCAAAGACTTGTTTGTTGATTTTACCATAGACATTTTTGGGTCCATGTTATCTGGAGCAGGCAATGTCAAGGCTCTACTAGAAGTATCTGGTGGATCATCATCGAAATCTCCAACCCTATACGGCTCTTTGCACCCTGGACACAAACCTGTGCTCTTTTGTGCATCTAGGTAGCAGTCTCTGCAAATTTTGAACCTAGAGGAAAGCACAAGCAAACTCCTCTTACTATTTGCAGTTTTCATTTGGAAATCACCATTAAACAGATAGATAGGGTCTTATAGTCTCAAATAGGGCCTTAATTCTTAATGAAGAATTCAGCACAAACCTGCATTCGCAAGGGGTTACATCATTTCCTCTTTCATCCCTCATGACCTTGCCATCGCAGGCGGGCATGGCACAGGCCGAGCCCTTGGCTCCGGCCATTTGTGGGTGGGTTACCTCTGAATCAATCACTTTATCCATGAGGTGGGCTCGAGTAACACTATTGAATCCTCCAGTAAACAAAGAATTGGACACGTATTGCTCCTCAGCTTTAACTGCAACCGATGTGTCCATTGGCTGATTGTCTGGCGTCGGAGGAATGTGCACTGTGTAGTTCATGTAGTCACCTGAAATCTCCCCAGACATATCAAGGTCCTCCCTAGAAAGGTTGATATAGCGCCCGCTCGAGGTCCGCCTAGCAAATTTTATTGCTTGCCCATTTTGGTTTCGGGAGCTCTGAGCTCCTGGACCTGCAGGGCTCCGTATTGCCTTCTTTGATGGATTCCTACCGAGAGATTCCATATTTCTGGAGTAGTATTTTAATCAAACAGTTTCCTAGTGATGCTTATTTTCCACAAGTTTCATAATTCCGCTAAGCAATGAAGCTGACACAATCAGCAGAATCTGGAAACTTGCGGAACCGGCCCCATATAATTCCCCCCTTTCTCTGAAATAAACCAACCCTGAATAAGTAACCCCCTTAACTTTTGGACAACACCAGAAATCAAGATCGTTTACTATTATTCCTCGAAATTAAAAAACAAAAGAAGAGCTTGGAATGAATATCAATTACTATATTACGTACCATTAGTCTCTTGGATTGTTTGAGCGAACATCAGAGAGAAACAAGCACGTTGAGCATCCTTTCTTTAACTCTGAAAAAATTCTACACAGGTTAACCAGATCGAAAACTATAAAATTTGTTTTCATGCAAGGTTATATAAAAGAAGGGAGAAATGTCTAAGAGTAATGGTGCAGCAGATGATTCAGACATTGGTGGTTAGTTGAAAAAGAAGAAGAAGAAGCCGTGATCATTAATGAACGTAAGTACCTGAATGGGAAAATAGGAAGCCGGAAGGAAAATTGATTGAAAGAAAGAGAGAAAGAGACAACGCGGCAAAGAAGAAAAGGATGAGAAAAGATTGAATTTATGGTCAAAATTGTTCTCAAAGTCCTTACTTTCTTTGTAGTTTCTGGGATCGCGCGTGTTTGTAGGAGTGTTAGTGGAGAAAAGACAAGTTAATGAAGATTGAATTAATGGTCCTTGTTTTAGGACCAACGATAGGTTACGTTAGTCGAAATACACAATCTCAATCATATCCTGTCTGATTCACAATCATATATGTATTCACTACAATAGCAAGTGTATTTGTCTGGAATCTATATTATACACACTAGTCGAGTCCCAAACGATGCAGGCTTTGTGAACCAAATTTGATGCTTTTAAAGCAGAAATTCTCATTGACCAAAGCTCAACAAATTCCAATTTAAGCATGAAGGCATTAACTACTCGAGATCCGTGTGTTGCACGGGCTTTGTTAAGTGAGGTTGGAGTCAAAAAGAGCCTGAATTGAATTGGTTGAAGGCAAATGCATGCATTATTTTGCATCAGTTAAGTTAGTGTTTGGTTGCAGTGCAATATTATTTGCACTAGTACAAATGTGCGGCAGTGCAAATGAAAAAAAAATGCAAATTCTCGTTTAATTTTGTTTTGGGTTTTATTGTATTCTGCTTTATGTCTTAATTTACTTCATTTGTATGTCAATCAAACCAAATATGCTAAATTTTGAAGCAAAAATATGTCAGAATTTATACTCGAAAAATTTGCACTGCTATAGTTCTGCATCAGTGCAAATTTATTTGCATTGTAACCAAACGCAACCACAGTAAAATTTTCAATAATTTTTAAATTAATTATTTTGAAATTTAGTGAATAATTAACGAGAGGTTGTGCACTTATCAATGGAAGTATTTTAGAAACCAAGTGGGAGGCCAAATTGTTTTCGCCTGAAGATCGTAGGTCTCTAGATTGACCATTCAGGTCAAACAGGTCAGACTTCGACGTACATAATTTATAATTCTGTCATACATGTAATATGTGTATTATTTTTACTTTTTTTATTTGTAAAAAAATGTTAAAATTTGGGAGTCAAAGACAAAAAGTTTTTTTTTTTTTTTTTTTGTAAAAATACAAGGTTTAGTGCCTTGTGATGCATAGATCTCAAAAAATTATCTAAACATCACTCCAATTGAATAACCAAGTATAAAGTAATAGCCTCAAGAAGTTTCAGTATGTAACTTGTGATTTCATGACTAGGCGGGGCTAGAATATTTTATTAGGGGGCAAAAGCTAGTAAACATAGGTAGGGAGACCAAAATCTTTAAATGGGTGGCTTGGGATGGGGGGGCATGACTCCCCTTTGCCACCCCTAGCTCCGCCCCTAGTCATTACCAGGGTCGAACATGTCAACAATTCAACACCTAGGTCAAAAGGCAAGTTTGAGGAAAATCGGATCGAGAATTACGACTAGGTGCCAAAATGAGTGATTTGACTATTTGGATTAACTGCGGGTTGAAAACAATACTTAATGGTAGAAACCGGGTAGATAACAAAATAAATAGTATAATTATTTAAGTAATTTATTTAATTCTAACTGTCCTTAAGTTTACTAATAGTTATACTATTTATTTTGAAGTTTAATTAATTGGTTTATAAATTATAATTTAATGAAATTAAAAATATTCATTAATGATAACTTAAAATCATTAATAATAATTGTATCATTTAATAACATAACATTAATCACTTATTTAGTATTAACAAAGAAATTTAAATTAGTGGAATTTATTTAATCATTAAATTAATTATTTTTATTTTTATCAATAATTACAATTAAATGGAAGCATATTTAATGAGGTTAAATTGAATTTCCTTATCTACTCTCTAGTAATGATTTTTAAGTTTATTAGTAATCATAGTATTTACATTTAAACTGAATTAAATTTGTTATGAAATCTAACTAATGGAATCTACAACAATATTGTGTGTCTCTCCCTCTCTCTCACTGATTGTCCGATTTCCGCAGCTCCGCTATTGTTTCTTCCACTATCCACTATATACTATAGCCATCGAAAACTGAACCAATTTCTTTCATGCTGATCATGCCGAAGCAGGTGAAGATGTTGTAACCTGCAATCAAAGCCTAGGTGAACTCAAAGATTTGTAGAGGAAAAAAAGGAGAAGCCTCGTCATTACTTAGCTGTTAATGGAGACTAATTTAGGAATTCAAAAGAATTGTTGATTAATAAAATGTTACTAACAAGGACTCTTGTTAAGCGAAAACTAAATAATAGAAATATATAAGTGTATACAATTATTTTATATTTTTTATTTTTTTAAATAATTAATAATTATTTATATTTAGGATTCAACTATGATATGGAAAATGTATGATTACTGAAAATATTTTGACCAATCAACTGACACACACACGCATATATATATATATATATATATATATATATATATATATATATATATATATATATATATA